AACAACCGTTCCGGAATTCTGATTACTGCCCTTACTAATATTCCGACTTCCCACATTGCTATTACTGCCTCTAGAATGGCTATTCCCACGCCGAGTTGAGTTGTATTGATAAATGGGCCATTGGTTCCGAATCTGATTCCTGTTCTTGATTTTGGGTGTGAATGCCAACTCAATTGGGCTGATTTTTATATTAGGCCATTGGCTAGGTCCCAACATCGACGGAGTATGATATTCTGGCGAAATGTAATTCTGTGTGGCCGCAAGAGCAAGGGCATTGCCGGTCATTCCATTACTAGTAAGAGTGGGATTTGAAGTGCCTACGGATTAGGAATTCAGAGACTCCTCTTTTCGTAGTTTATCCTCGAAACCAGTGAGTATAGTGCAGACCTCATCAAACGAAGTGTCTCCTGTCATGAGAATTGAGTTTTCAATGGGCTCGAATTCAAGATGGAGCCCCTCTAGTGCTTGGATGACGAGATCTTCATCCTCTATCGGGCGGCCAGCCAAAGCCAACTCATCTGCAAGGGTGTTGAAGATATTCACCTATCGACTGAGATCCTTGTTGGGAACGTGGGAACCTATCTTTAAGGTTTTGAGGTTTTGAATTTGGGAAGCCAACCAAATCCCATAGAGGCATTAGAGAGTCTTCTAGACTGCAACAGAGGTGCATGTGGAGCCGATAAGAAGTTCACTAGCCGAGCTGAGGGAAGTAACCAGAGCATGGCAGAGCACGCAGTCTTGCCTATACCATCAGAGTCGACCAGTAGCGTCGTTCTCGGGAGGTGGGGCAGCGTCTTCACTGATATACTGGACATCTGAACAAGATGGGAGCCAAATAAAAGGTCAAGGACCTGGTCATGCCATACCACGTAATTCAGAGCTTCTAGTTTTCCCTGGAATTGTCTGGACTGAGCATGACTAGACCATTTGGAGTCAAAGGGTCCTTGACCAAGGTTGAAGGACCTCCGGAAAATAGAGTTGTTTGGCTGACAGGTGGGTTTTTGAGGTCCCCTTGCCCCTTGGGATTGGGATCCTCTGAACGGACATTTTCAGAATTGCCGATAGCCATGATAAAGATAAGCATTTATATTCTACAACAACATCAACATGCTAGGTCTAAGGCCGTCGACTTATTGCGAAAAAGAAGTAAAATCATCAAAAAGAAATTAGATATATCTATAGGAGTGAAGATGGTCGGCTAACATGAATCAATCCATGATATCAGAGAAAACAAGAGAAGAAAGATAAGAAAAATGAAAAGATAAATAGGATAAGATAAAAATAAATATAAGAAAAATATAACATAAGAACATAAGAAAGATATAAGCTAAGAAGATAAAAGAACATAAGAAACGTAAACGATAAAAAATAATACAAGAACATAGAAAGATAAAGAAGATAAAAGATAAAAGAATGGGAGAGAGAGAAAAGAGAGAAATCATCCACACGAATATGCGTCCTACACTTCGCACTCTCCAAAGTCATACTCTCATCAAACCCAAGAAGAAACATATTTGTTTTGATTCATCTAATCCAAGTCTGATTGGGTCTCTCTCTCCTCCCCGCCTCTTCTCCCCACCTCTTAAGTCGTCTAACAAATCTAGTTAGCTTTTTTGCGTTTTAAACGCGTTTTAAACACGTACCGTTTTTTTTTGAATAAAAAAACATGCTTACAACGAAAAATAATGTTGGTCCGTTTAAAAAGGGAAAAACTCTCACTTTTCGTATAAAACGTATATTTCCCGTATTTTACAAAAAAAGAAACATGAATTGATCAATTGGATGAATGCTTTAAATGCACAGGAGATAACAATAGTTTAAAAACAAAAAGGAAAACCTCCTCCCCGTGACCCGTGTTTTTGTATTGTTACCCTACAAAATATACAATTATTAAATACTAAAATTAATTGTATGGCGGCTAAAGCTGACATCCTAAAAGACTAAAACTTAAAATACTACTAGAATTCAGCTTGTTTTCCAAGGGAAAACAAGCATAACAAAATTAAGGTTTTAATATAAACTTTTACACAAACAATTATTAGTGTAGTTATCGCACAACTTTCCTATGTCATCCGCCATCTTGATTAAAATGATGAGTTTAACTTGAGTGTTATTTGATGATTATATATAGATGATGATGTTATATTGTTAATTTGGTTTCATTCTATCGTTATTATACCTTATTTTTTGACATTATTTTGCAAAGTTATGTCCTGGACATGATTACTATTTTTTTCATTTTGAATTTTGACATTATTTTGACATTATTTTGACTTATGCAATTATGAGTTATTATTTTAGGTAGTAATGGAATTTACTATTTGAATATGTATATATTTTTATTTATTTTTACTATATGTTATTTTGTGAATTATATTTAAATGTTCAAAATAATACGCTGTATTTTTGGTCCGAATTTTTGTAAATAGATACCGTACTGTACACGTATATGTATTTGCACGTTTTTTAAAATTCAACATTTTTTTCAATGAATTTTTCACCGATTTTGCATTCATGTTACCGAATAAAACCTGCACGTATTAAACCTCGTTTAATTCCCATAATGTATTTAACTAAAATGAAAATATATAGAAAAAGGCATCAACGTTCGCATCACATGAGAACGAGATCGCTATCACATCTGGAGTTTTAATTTTAGGAACTCATTTCTCTTGAGGGAGGGTCTTCTACTTGTATTGGGGGTGGGTTCGTTTTTGCATTCTTATTTTTCTTTTCGATTTGTTTTTGTTCTCTCGTTTTTTTCTTTAATAAAACTTCTCTTCCTTTTAAAAAAAGTATTTAACTAACTAGGCAAACAAATGCATCACTCGGTGTTCTACGCACATGATCAAACCACCGCAATCGAGACTCTTGCATCTTATTTCTATAGGTGCCACTCCCATCTTTTATCTGATTATCTCATTCCTTAAGCGGTCTCTTCTGGTTTGTTCACACATTCAACGTAACATACACATTTCTGTTACACTCATCTTTTGAATGTGTCATTGTTTTATCGTCCAACACTCTGCGCCATAAATTTACCCTTCACTTGAGTCAGCATACCTCAATCACATAGAAATCCCGATGCACTCTTCCATTTCATCAACCCTACTCTGATTCTATGTGATATTGTGATATACATCTCCATCTAATTCACCCTCCTTTTTGAATTATGGATCCCAAATTATGGAGCCCAAGTAACGAAACATGTCACACACTGGTATCTCCTTGCTATCAAGGGTAATCCCACTGTTACTACTACTTCTACCTCCACCAAACTTGCACTCCATATACTCAGTCTTGCTTTGGCTCAATCAGAAACCCTTGGTCTTCAATATTTGTCGCCATACTTCGACCTTTGTTTTAACACCTGGTTGTGTCTTATCAATCAGTAAGATATCGTCGGCAAACATCATGCACCATAGTGTATCTTCTTGAATTGACTCCGTAAGTTCATTCATGACTATACCAAATAAGGAAAGACTCAAAGCCGATCCTTGGTGCACTCTGATAGTAATAGAGAACTTCACAGTCCTCCCTACACTAGTACGGACACTGCTAGTACAAACCTCATACATATTCATGATGATACTGATATACTTAAGTGATATGCCTTTTCTAGTTAAGCCCACTGAAGGTCTTCTCAAGGTACCATATCATATGCCTTTTCTAAAATAATGAACACCAAATGTAGATCCTTTTTAGTGTCTATATACTTCTCCACAACTTGTATAGGAAGGTGAATGACCTCAATTGATGAGTGTACAGGCATAAAACCAAAATATGCTTGGACACTCATCAATACCTTGCACTTTATTCCCATTGAACAAGGTATCAAAGTATCACCTCCACCTCTCTTTTATTTTCTTGTCCTCCATTAGTACCCTTTGATCGACATCCTCTGATATCTTGAGTCATACGATCACGAAGGTGAGCGAGTGTCTCTAAATATCTTTTTCTCTTTCCTTGGTGTTCACTTACCTTCTTGCTTCCTTTACGTTTTTATTTGCTTTTCTTTTATACTCTCTTAAATGATAAAGATACTAAGGGCACGTTTGGTTCGAGGTAGTCTTGTATGAAGGTCTGAATCTGATATCTGGAATGTGAGATACTCGCGTTTGGTTCGCGGGTTTAAAAAAAAAATCAGGATTGTTATATTCCCAAATAGAGAAGAATGTAATCCCATGCCCGGTAATGTGAAACCCATCTTAGGTTATCTTGGATGCCTGGTCAATTTTAAAACTTCTTCCAAAAATACACATGCTCATTTGTCAAGAGTACTTACTAATGTTCACTAATATTTGTCATTTGTGCAAATAAACATACTTTTCTTAAAAGTTATTCAATTACTGTTGATTTTATTTATTATTGAGATATTTCATTTTTTCTTTAATTTAAATTACTTCAAATGTAGGTTGTAATAAGTGTAATGTGTTAAGACAAATTATTTGAAGGACATTGAAGTAAATCATCAAGTGTACAATATAAGATATCATTCAACCAAACAAATTAATGTCACATTCCTTTAATCTTAACCAAACATAAATGGGATACACATTGAATATATTCCTATCAATCTAACATACCCCTAACATACCCAACAATCTAACATTCTCATGGTAATGTGACATCCTTGAACCAAACGGGCCCTAAGGGCTGTAACAACAAATTATAATAATACTATGACTTAATTATAACAAATGATCTGATTTATTGATTGCCTTCTATAAAAAGCACTTCCCCCCATTTCCCTTCCAAACACTTCTTTTTGAAGTTAAATTACTTTTCTTCCTCCAGAAACACTTATTCCTTGAAAATAGTCATCCCAAACGCACTTCGACTGATTTTGATGACATGAATGTCACTAATTGCTTTTCCTTGTAGAAATTCAGCAGCAAAATAACCGTTACCAACTGAGCCGTAAATTTGCATGTAGCATGTGATGTATGAATACATGTATTGTGTGATCTTGATTTTTACAGTCCCATTTTTATCATCAGAGATTTAAAAAGATAATGCGGGCCACCCAAGGTGCATTTATTGTTGCTTCAACTCTTCAGATTGTCCTCGGTTTTAGTGGCCTTTGGCGCAATATTACAAGGTCTGCTAATGTGCTGATACATACATATATATATATATATATATATATATATATATATATATATGTATATATATTATTGAATGAGTGATGGTAGTTGAATTTCTTATTTCCTGGCCTCATCCTTGCCATGTGGAATCATTGTGGTATGAAAAAACATATCTGCTTTTGGGCGTGACTAGGTTTTTGAGCCCTCTTTCATCAGTTCCATTGGTTGCACTTGCCGGGTTTGGGCTCTACGAACTTGGTTTCCCTGGTGTAAGTATTTATGATATATATATATATACATCCGTTCTTAAGTAATTGCAACATGCCGACTTCTGTACTGTTCACATACTCTGTTATCACCACATTTTTTTATTAATGAGTGAATAGATTATATTTCGAAATGCAGTAAATTTTCAATATCTAGTTTTTTAATATTTCGAATAATAGCCAAATAAATGTAGACATATAGTAATGTTCAAAGTTGCAAATTCACAAACGTGAAGATGTAAGTGTTGCAACTATAAATAAGAATGGAGGAAGTATATGTATTTGCAATTATGATGGATTTTGTTTAGCAAGATAAATTCCTCTCTGTTCTACTTAAAATAAAATCCTATGTTGAATAACTGAACTTTATTGCAGATATTTCATTCAACTGACATGCCTTGACGTACTACTTAACAAATTCAACTGATCCTTCATTTTGAGCCTGCAATGTCATGTCCTTTGTTCATGCCACTATGACTCGTCTAACCAATTAATGTTGTTGTATAGGTTGCTAAATGTGTTGAAGTAGGGTTACCAGAGCTGGTGATTTTGGTCATTTTCTCCCAGGTTGGTTTGGTATAGGAAATCATATGGCTAATTCCTGATTTCCTGGAAAGTAAAGCCATCTCATGTTCCTGATATTAATTAACCATGAAGAATTTCTCTTGTTTTTTATTTGTTCATGCTGCAGTATTTGGCTCATCTTATAAAGCCTGGACATCATATTTTTGATCGTTTTGCTGTTATATTTTCGGTAGCAATTGTATGGATTTATGCCCATATACTTACTATTGGTGGGGCCTACAATGGAAAACCACCAAAAACACAAACAAGCTGCCGGACTGACCGGACTGGACTTATATCTGCTGCCCCTTGGTAAGTTCTTACTCAGGTTCCGTTTGTTTCCAGGAAAATATGCTGGAAAGTTAGATTTTCTAGGAAATTTCTGCAAATACGAGTCAAAGATTAATAATGTTCACAAACTGGAATATTCCCTTTTCTATTAAAAAGTTTAGAAGTAGTTAATAATTTTTTTCTAGGATTGATTTTGGCTTACTTTTAAAAGAAAAAAATAATGGTCGTACTTATAAAACAGTGTTATTTATAATCATATTTATGGAATTTTCTCTTGGTTTGAGTTACACTGGAAAGTGTTTTCATTGGGAACAGGAGAATTATTATTTAATGGATAATGAAAGTATTTTAATGACACTTTTAATTCTCATTTCAACAAAATACACAAGAATAGGAAACTGTATCAATTAACATCTCATTTTACAACTTAATAGGAAATTATATTAGAACTCAAAGTTTCATCCTAAAAAAGTAGAAACAGTAATTGACGATTTTTTATTATCTTATTTTACACCAAACTAGTGGAAGAAAAATACTTCAGCGACTTGAAATTTTATCATAACAAGTTAACCTAATAGGAAGAGTACTTTAAGGTGTTATATACTCGCTCCATATCAAAATAACTTTTCCATTTGGTTTTCATGTAGTTTAAGATAACTACTGTAACTTTACAAAAAGTAAGATGTTTTTGGTACTATATACTTTATTGAAGTGTACTCTAGCTGCTTTTAGGATATATTTCTTTCCAAAAAGGAATGACACAACTAATTTGATACAACCCGAATAGAAAACTAGGACAATCATTTTCATACGGAGTGAGTATTAGTTTATTATTTCTTATCAAACTAATGTGAAAGAAATACTTAAACAAAATACAAGTCTTTTCCACCAAATAGTTCTATGTTTTTCAGTTTTTTTGGGGAATATTATAGGCCTCCTTCCTGAAAAAAGAGTCATGCTCAAAAACTGTTTCATCCCAAAAAGAGTCTTGTTAGATATAGAGATGATATAACAGGTAAAACAATTTATTTTTCAAGGAAATGTGTCCAAAACGTTTTCCTTATTTCCCTCGAAAAGCAACTTCTCATCGTCATCATCATCATTACCCGAGTGCGGCAAGGCTCCCACCTACAGAGACTGTTTCCGGATGACCCATAGTAAAATTCGAGTCGAAAATTGCATGGACTAATTGCTCCTTCATAGCAAAGAAGCACAGACAGTTTAGTGAGCCATTTTGCTTTATTCCATCATATTCCCAAGCCAAAAAATAGTGAGTCTTTGGCTCCATTCCAAAAGCAACTTCTACGTAAAGTTATTCTTTTAAAATCAAACTGAGTCTTAGATTGTGCACATAAATAATACTCCCTCCATCCCATCGGACTTTGCCAACATTCCTTTTTTGTTTGTCCCACAAACTTTGTCACTTTCCTTTTAATGTAATGAATTTCTGGTTCTCCTTATTTCTCTTTCCGGTGCACAATTCTCAACCACACAGTTTTTACCTTTCTTATTCCCATCCAAATCAAAGTTGGCAATGTCCAATAAGATGGAGGGAGTAGTATGTTGGTTAAATACGTTTCTATTTATCCTTAACCTACCATCTCAATTGATGGACTCACAGCGCAATTGATATACAATTTCTTTTTAAGTTTAATTAAATAATTGAGAATAGAACTTGAGACCTCAGTTTATCAAAATGTTGTGGTAACTTATCAATTAAACCTTTACTGATTCTAAACATCTCAAATATTTCCTCCTGTGGCATAAATTTCTTTTTTCAGGATTAGAGTTCCCTACCCCTTTCAATGGGGACCACCTTCTTTTGATGCAGGTGAAGCATTTGCTATGATGATGGCAACTTTCGTAGCACTTGTAGAGGTTTGTTTTCTTGAAAGGGAATGACTAGAATGAAAAATGAGCCGATCTCGTACACATGAATGATTATGATCATGATTGCTTTTCCTGGTTTCTCTTTCTTCATCCTTTGCTTTCTATTCTCAATCTAGTATTTCTTTTAGATTGGATCTGATCACTTTTACTTATTTCAGTCACATTAGACCATACAGGACAAGACTTAAACAGTCCAGATTAGCACTAGAAATGTTGAAATATAAACTAGAATAATAATAACAATAGAGAGGAGAAAGGAGTTTTCTATATATTTCATTAGAAGGTTAAGGCCCTATATATATTACAAAGATGGAATATTCCTATATAAGATGCTATACAATAATAATGTCTAGAGTATATTCCTAAAGCATATTCTTACATACAATAATACTTTCATACTCCCCCTCAAGTTGGAGCATAGATATTTATCATGCCCAACTTGTTACATAAGTAATCAACTCGAATCCCATTTAGAGCTTTAGTGAATAAATCTCCAAGTTGTTCTCCAGTCTTCACATATCCGGTAGAGATTAATCCTTTTTGTATCTTCTCTCGAATAAAATGACAATCAACCTCAATATGCTTTGTTCTCTCATGAAATATGGGATTGTTTGCTATGTGTGTAGCAGCTTGGTTATCGCACCACAACTGAGCAGGCATTGGTGTCTTCAATCCGATTTCATTCAATAAATGGTGTATCCATATATCTCACATGCGGATTGTGCCATAGCTCGATATTCTGATTCAACACTAGAACGAGAAACCACATTCTGTTTCTTACTCTTCCAGGATACAAGATTACCACCAACAAAGACGTAATAACTAGATGTAGATCTTCGATCATCTTTAGAACCGGCCCAATCAGCATCTGCAAAGCATTCTATTCTCATGTGATCATGATTTTGATAAACATTACCTCGTCTTGGTGCTCCCTTTAGGTAACATAATATGTATTCTACAGCAGCCCAATGATCAATGGTCAGAGATGACATGTATTGACTCACTACACTCATAGAGTAAGCGCAATATCTGGACGAGTGACTGTGAGATAATTAAGCTTTCCAACCAATCACCTATATCTTTTTGGGTCTTCATACGGCATGCCTTCTTGAGTGAGTTGCACATTGGGAACCATGGGATTATTGCTCGGCTTTGATCCCAACTTCCCTGTTTCAGTGAGCAAATCAAGTACATATTTTCGCTGAGATAGAAATATGACTTTCTTACTCCGTGTTACCTCAATACCCGAGAAGTATTTCAATGAGCCTAGATCTTTTGTTTGGAACTGGCTATGAAGATAATTTTTAAGGGCCAAGATATTGGGAAAAACTCCAGACTTTCCCGCTTCGTGAAGTTAAGATAGGCACTTTGGAATTAAAGTAGTAACGGGAGCGCACGATTTGAATTCTCGAATTAAGGAGGGATCCCAACACATAACACCTACATTATCACTGCCTGTAATCACAATATCATCGACATACACCACAAGCAATGTGATACCTGCTTTCGTTCGTCTGTAAAAGAGAGAATGATCTGATTTGCCTTTTATCATTCCAAATTGTTCAATTGTTTGATTGAAGTTTCCAAACCATGCACGAGGACTCTATTTCAGACCATAAAGAGATTTGCGAAGTCGACAAACTTTACCATACTCCCCCTAGAGGTTGCTCGATGTAAACTTCTTCCTGAAAGTCACCATGCAAGAATGCATTTTTAATGCCCAATTGATGCAAGTGTCAATCATGAGTTGCAGCTAGTGAAATAAGTAAGCTAGTGAAATAAGTAACCTGACAGATGTTAATTTAGCAATAGGAGAAAAAGTGTCGGAATAATCAACACCATAGGTTTGAGCATAACCCTTCGCAACCAATCGGGCTTCCAATCGAGCAACAGATCCGTCTGGATTAACCTTAACAGTAAAGACCCACTTACATCCAATATACTTCTTCCCTGTAGGCAAGTCTACCAAATCCCAAGTACCATTAAGATCCAAAGCATTCATTTCCTCTACCATGGCATGTCGCCATTCAGGATGAGACAAAGCTTCTTTAACAGATTTGGGAACAGATAGAATCGATGGAAGCAATAAAAGAATATGAGGTAGGGATAACTGATTATACGACACCAATGAAGAAATAGGATGAGTACAAGATCGTGTACCTTTACGTAGTGCTATCGGAAGGTTTGATGTGAAGACAAGATCTGAAGATGCATGTACCATGCTTGTCACGACGGTAAGTTGAGTCGCGGCGCCAGCTGACCGCCATATCGCCTAGGCGACAAGGCGCCAGCCTAGGCGACAAGGCGCCTGCCTAGGCGACAATTAGGCGACTAGTCGCCTATATGTATAGATTATATTATATATTATATATATAATTATATATTTACATATATAATTATATATTTAATTATATATTATGTATAATATATTACTAACTAAAATGCATATAACTTAGAATTGAAATCCACAATTAATAATTAAAAACAAGGTTTATTAATGGGAATTAAGATAAAAAATGTATATCTCAAATAAGCAATGTAAAGATCAAACTACTAATTTATCAAAAATCATCAAGGACTAAATCATCTCTACGGCCTTCATTGCCGTGATCATCATCATCATGAGTAGGAGTGGGTGGTGTTTGACCGTAGTCATCATTTGAAAAACTTTCTTCCTCGTTGTTCATGTCTTCATCAATCAACCTTAATGAAGAATTTGAACCACGCCGTCGAGAATAAACCGATTGTCCACGAGAGCTACTAGTCCTAGGAAGATTACGACCCTGAAGATTGCTTGATGCACCCACAACTTCATCAACTTGACTCCAAAGAAGATCATCACCGGGATGAACAACGTCATTGCTGACCCATTCATTGTTCCATCGGAAATCTTCATATATTAAAGGGTTGAAGTTTGTTCCTTTTTCACGCCGCTTCTGAAATCTGGTCGCTATCTTCCGATTATATTGAATAAAAACCAAGTCATTCAACCTCTTATGCTCCAACCTATTTCTTCTTTTTGTATGAATCTAAAATAAAGATTAAAAACATATTTGATAAGTGTTTTGATTTAATTAGTTAAAATCTAGTGTAATTTAAAAATTGTAGTTAGTATTCAAAATTGTAAGTCTATTACTTACAAACTCAAAAGTGCTCCAATTACGTTCACAGCCAGAAGAAGAGGTACAACAGAGACCAACTATGCGTTTTGCTACAGTCAAAGTTGCGCGTTGGCAAACGTGAAAGTCAAACTGTTGCAACTTTTATGGAACGGAGGATAGTATATAAAAAGTATCACTTATGAGGACTCTTAGATTTTTGTTGCTTAATCGCGAGTTGCTTTGCAAAACTTCCTCTCAATTTGTCATAATCTGTCGCTTTATCACTTATCATGGGCTGCAATGTTTCATCAGTGACCATCTTTTCAAGCACATCGTTAAACATTGATCGTTGCCTTGATGCTGATGTGGGATCAGTCTGTTTGAGATCAAAATATTTAGGACGGATTTAAAAGCAAAGCTGCCCCGTATAATTTGACCTCCATCTGAACTTCCCATCATGTCTCAATGATCCCAACTAGGCTTCTCAAAACTCTAGCCTTATTTTCAAATCATCCGCTGATTTTTTTCTTGGCACAATCCATTGCTAGTGAAAGCTCTGGCATAGTCGGTTGCTCATCGGCATCAACTATCCTCAAGACAACTCAATGCGGTTGTGAAGCTCGTATGCAGTCTTCCACTGCACTCTAGAATCTAGTAGACAACACAATCTCACTAACCCTCTTTCCTGCTTCTGTGGCAGCCAATTTAGATCTACCCCAATCCAGACCGCTAAATTGATTTCTCAATGCTTCTCTGTGTTCATATAGAGATTGCAAAGTGAGAAACGCTGTTGCAAATCTAGTAACTCCAGGTCTTACAAGATCCTTCCCACCCGTCTTTTGTCTCACTGAATGGAGGATTCTCGTGTGCCGATAAATGAAAGTTGTCACACGTCTTGCTTTTTCAATATGGGGCTTGAACTCGGCAAATTTACCGATATCTTCCAGCATCAAATCCAAACAATGTGCAGCGCATGGAGTCCAATAAAGCGTGGGTATCTTGAGCTCTAGAAGTTTTCCCGCAGCCTTATAGTTAGATAGTTAGAGCCGTTGTCTGTCACCACTTGCACTACCTTGTCTTTTCCAACTTCTTCAATTTTTTTCTCAAGCAAACCTGCCAACCTGCCAGCAATGTTGCATCTTGAGATTCACCTGATGCATCAACCATCAAGTGTCGATTCCTTCGGTCAGACCATCCATCAAACATGAGTGTGCACCCGTATTCCTTCCAAGCAAGTTCATGTTTTTCTCTGAGCTTCTCTGTATTTTTCTTTGCTTTATCAAGAAGCGGTACACGCAAGTCATGATAGCTAGGAGGTTTAAGTCCTGGTCCAAACTGCCCAATTGACTCCACCATGATCTCATAATTCCTGGAGTTTGCTGCATTAAAGGGAATGTCGTTTTCATAAAAAAAATCACAAATGTGCATGAAGACCCTCTCTTTCTCCTCCTTGCTTTTTGTGCATAGTGTAGTTTGGGGTGGGGCCTTTCGTATGTCTTTCATCAACAACCTCCTCGGGATTTTTGCGAATGATGGAGGCAATTGATTTGTTTTGTTTGGGCATTTTTGGTGGGACATTAAAGAATTGCGAAGCAACATTTTTCCTCTTGGTTGCTGTCCCAGAACTTGGGTGAGAAGTTGAAGTATCTATTTGAGTGAAAGGTACTTCAACATCATCCTCATCGCCGTCATCTTCAATCTGGATCGGTTTACTCCTGGATTTCCTCATTAAATATGCTCACATCTCCGTCATAAGTTCTGTTGTCGTATGAGGACATTTAGCAACATCTCCATACCCGCCAGCTAGATGTTGTTTTAATCTCTTTATGCCAGAAGACATTTGCTTATTACAATGCCTACATTGGACTATGTCTTTGTTGTTCAAGT